ATAGTGTTTAGAAATAAGGTGAATTCAACCATTGCAGCGAGCATACGCACAACCCATGAATAACTTGGACAAACAAGGAAAACCCCGTCCCTGCACAGGATTGAGATAAGAGGGAGGGGTTGACATGGCGCAAAAATTGATAAAATTCCAACCATGATCGCCACCAGGAGTCCAGTCGTTCCAACCGCGTAGATTAGGAATATAATAAACAAATACACTTTTGGCGCTGGAGGGCCACCTTGAAAAGACATTTAGTTCCTTAAATTTATTGATAATTGACATCAAGAATTGACTTACTAGTTTCAGAGTTATTTGAAATCATCACGAAATTCTGTACATCCACGGCACCATGGTCTACTGGGATGTCAAATCGACTAAAGAACGAAATCGTGTATATCATTGCCCCAAAAATAGCTTCGGCACGATGGATAATATTCGAGGGGTGCAGTATGATGGAATACAGACGGCACAAGGTTGCCAAGAGGTGGATCATTAGCATCACTGTGATCTCTCTCTGTTGCCGTTTTGATTTTACTACTGTCCTCCCGTTTACGGGATTCCATTTTACTGGGAGACATTTCAAGTAATTTCCGTAGCGAAGGTTCCGCTTTAACAGTTCGATATCTTCCTTACCCATTGTACTTATGGGTATGCTTAGGTATGTTGGACTTTACTCAGGGCTAGGTGATTGCAGACTGCCCGAATTATTTCTTAAATTTCTATACTTTCCATAAACCAGTAACTGCGAGTACTCTATGGAGCAGGCTACATCATTGAAAATTTATGTAAGTTTTAATAATTAATTATTGCCTAGTGTTGTTTATACGAAACAATATCGGCGTTAAATGTATTGGTTGATAAATAATAATTAAGTATATTTTAGATCGAATGTTATGTCGTAGTCTAACAGAACCAAGAATATTATAAAGTTATTAAGAGTTTCATATTTTATTTATTTCTAATTTCCTTGAAAATTATTTTCATTTTCTATGCGAAATATATAAATTATATTTCACAATTGACGCTAATTATAAGACAAACGCTGACATGTGTTATTTCGCTAGCTTATATTTTCATTAATTTTTAATCATTTTGTGGATCATCGTTGTTGTCGCCTAAAAGTTTGATATCATTCTATACTGAGATCAAATGTAATTAAACTGTAATTAAATTAAATTATTCATCAATTTGGAGACATTGTTCTTTAATGAATAAAAGAAGGTAGAAGCCTGCTGCTATAATTGGTAAGGGAATATAAATTAGAAAGTATTTTCTAAAAATTAATAATTTTTTTTTCTAAAAACAGATTTCTTTTTAGACTGTTTTGGTTATACATAAAGGGTGTTAATAAAGTCCGATCCCATGAATTTTTTGGAGCGCGGTTGTTACAAATTCAGCTGGAACTTTTGAACCAGTGAAGTTATTTATTTCAAATTTTTACCATGGGAGGAACAACTAAACGTGTAAGTCATGAGCATCTTAGAGTTAAGATACAAACATTGCATCAGCAGGGGTTTAAACCTGCAGAAATTGTGCAAAAATTGGGCTGCAGCCGCAGAACTGTTTGGAAATGGAAGAACAAAAATTTTGTCCACGACAAAAAGCGACCCGGGCGACCCAGAAAGGTGTCACCTACCACAAAGAGAATGATTAAAAACAGACTTTACAAGAAAACCGGTAGTTCATTACGTAATTGTGCAAGGGAGTTAAATGACTCAAAACGCTATAAAGAGAAGAAGAAGCAAATTAACTATGTGACCGTGCAAAAATTTGTGAAATCTACGAGGTGGGGTCACACAGCTTACAAACTAACCAAAAAACCTCTCATGTCACAACAAAATATCGATGACCGTCTGAAATTTGGAGAACTCCTTCAGAAAAGTGGCCATTTGAGTGAAAAAAGACTTGGTGAAGAATTGCGCAGTCACATCCTTTGGACTGATGAATCTATTATTGAGCTATATCCAAAATTGAACCAACAAAATGTTCGTTACAGGACAGAAAACAAATCGGATGTACCATCAAGAGCAGTCCCAAAATTCGGGCTTAAAGTTATGGTAGCGGGTGGATTTTGTGCACGTGGCGTGACTCCTCTACATATCATACCAAAAGGCCAAACAGTCAATGCAAAGTATTATATGGAAAAAATATTACCTATCTATTTCGATAGCATGGGGAACAAGGAAATATTTCCGAATGAAAGAAAAATAGTTTTCATGCAGGATGGTGCTACAGCCCATACAGCAAAAGCGAGTTTGAGTCTCATCAAGACGCAAGTTTCAACGGTCTGGAGCAAGGGAGTGTGGCCCGGAAACAGCCCAGATTTGAATCCCCTGGAGAACCTGTGGTCCATACTTAAGGAAAATGTATACAAAGAACCACAACCCCGGACGAGGGAAGAGCTAGTAAAAAAAGTTCAAGATGTATGGAATTCGATTCCCACAGACACATTGGAAAAATTAGCACAGAGCCTTAAACAAAGAGTTGAGGGCATGGTTAAAGTAAATGGTAACAAGACCAAATACTAAGGTAAATATGTCGAACATTTTTTGTAAGTATCACGGGTAGTTTTTTTTATACTAGCCTTCACTTTTTTATAGGAAAAATGGGATCGGACTTTATTAACACCCTTTAGATACAAATTTAAAGCTTATGATTGTGAATGACGAGAACCAACGGAGCCTGAAACAGTAACTCTATAGAGGATGTGAAAAGATTTATGATTTACTTCGCAAAATCATTCTTCCCTTCATAAATAAATAACAATAATCGATGAGCGGGTCACTAAAATAATTCGGTCAGCATAAATTTGTAAATATTTGATTGTTAGATACTCGTTAGCTTATAGATAACATATTTATAATTTAATTTGTAAGTTTAGTAAACACTACCATACTGCTATTTTAATACAACACATTCTCAAACTAATTAAATTGTCAGAGAAAAATAAAAATAATAATTGTCCACAAACTAATACTTCATATAAATTTAAAAACTTATGTAAAGTTGATCTACTCATCGTTCCGTTGAGATCCTCAAGAGACAAGTAGCCCCGAAATTGCCTGCCTCACACAAAATTCCTGCACTACCAATGGTGTCAACCTTTCCACAAAATTATTTCCAAATTCTAGTTTCAACGGTACCAGTGACTTCTGTACTTTCCTCTCCCATTTTGTCTTAATATTCCATCTGCATCTACTCAGCCAGTTCCTGCTTAGGTTATGAACCTGTGCCGCACCAGAGAACATAATCATGGTGAAGAAAATTATCATGAAGTAGCACCACAAGAATAATGATGCCTTAAATTGGTCATTTTCGTTGGACCGAAACAATTTTATGGCAATGTAACAGATTACTATTTGTGCCGCGGGAACACCTAATGCGCATGTCAAAAATATTCTGGATCTTGTACAGGAGTTGAGACATTTTTCGAAAATGCGTAAATTTTGATATTCCCCAAGTTTTGCAAGATTCTGATCATATCGTTTTACAAACGCCTTACAATCAATCCATAGGAATGCGACACCCTTAAGCATTACCTCAATAACGTAATGCATTGAAGTTATTGCAATATTTACTAACAATATGAATTCCACAATTGCAGAGAGCAGACGCACAATCCAAGAATAACTAGTACCGGCAAGAAAAATTCCATTGCGGTAAAGGAGCGAATTCAAAAGGATAGGCTGACATGGAACAAAAATTGCTAGGACTCCCATCAGTGTCGGAAGCAGGAATCCGGTCGTTGCAACCGCGTAAAGTAATAGTCTGATTAATAGATATACGTTAGGAGTAGAGGATCGGCCTACGGGGGAAATTCAAATCTTAGCAAACCTGAAATTTAATTTGGTGTAAACAAACATCAAGAATTAACTTACTGGTTGTCGGCTTAATTGAAATCATCACGAAATTCAGTACTTGCACGGCACCATGGTCTACTGGGATGTCCAATCGAATTGATAACCCAATTGTATATATCAGTGCTCCAAAGATGGCTTCGGCACGATGCATAATATTTGAGGGGTGTAGTGTGATGGAATACAGACGGCACAAGGTTGCTAAGAGATGAATAACTAGCATCGGAATGACATGTCTTTGTTGCCATGGTGATTTAACAACAATCCTTTCATTGACGGAATCCCACTTTATTGGGAGACACTTGAAGTAATTACCGTAACGAAGGTTTCGCTTTAAAATTTCGATATCTTTCTTATCCATTCTACTTATAGGTATACTCACCCTCGGGTAGGTGTTTGAAGACTGAGCGAATTATTTATTAAGATATTTTAATTTACATAAACTACGCAGGCAGTAATTAATGTGGTGGCCTGAACCATTGAAAATTTATGTAGATTTTAATATTTGATTATTCAATTGTATTATTTACTTCATGCAATATACGTGCTGGTTTTTGGGTAAATAATTGACAATTAACTAATTAAATATATTTTGTATAGGGGGTTATAGAGATGTATACACCAATGTACAGTTATGTGTATGTATCGTTGCCTAACACAACCAAACATATTATAAAACCAGTTAATTTCTAATTAAGATTTTTATATTTTATTAACTTTAAATTTTCTTCAACATTTTTTTAGATGTGCAATATATAAATTATTACTAATTCTAAGCCTACGAATATCTACATCTTTAGTTTGCGGCCTTATAACTCAATTAATTCTTAATCGTTTTGTGGATCGTCTCAATATTTTACACCATTTTATGATTACATTCCTGTCAATAATGTTAATGTGGAATTTCCTTTATTAATAATACATATATTAAAATCTTATAATAAATATGTACACAGTAATCTGGTAATTATAAAATAAAGTATGTATTGGCGGTTCCACCAAGATTTCTATTTTGCCTTAGTGAACTTAATGATATGAATCAATTCGGTTCATAATTATCGATTAAAGGCCGAAAATGTTGCTCACACTGGAATGGACCCACAAATTAATGTTTCAATAAATACTAACAAAATCTTAATTCCGTCATTTCGCCATCTTCTCCCTCAAATGCTCCTCCTTTAAGTGCACCCCCATTTCTTCCTGCTGAATAAATTTTCCACAGAAGTAGCACTCCTCCCCAGGGCGGATTGCATGCTTTTTATTCCGGTGGACCAAATATGATACAAGTCCCCCAAATATTTTCCCACAAGAAGGAAATGGACACGTGATCTCGCTCCCATCTTCCGATATGTATCCTGCCCGACATAATTTGGCATGCAAAACACTATACTGTCCAGTATGGAATGTAGCCTTGCAGTAGACACATTTGTAGGCTTTTTCGTCGAGATGGACGCGCACATGGCTTTCCAAATTGTACCTGCTGCTTAATTCCTTTCCGCAAAAATTGCACCTGAATTTTTCCAAGTTCCAGTGTGTAACTTCCTGTGTTAAATAATGATAAACAATAAATTACATACCTGGTAAAAAACAAGAAATTAAAAACTTACCTGGTGCTTTTTAATACCACTTTTGCACATTATTATGCCGCAAATTGTGCAGGCTGCTTTCGCCCCTGTATGTACAACCCCTTTATGATCCAGTAGGGCAGGCAAAGTATGGAATGATTCCGTACAACCATAAGCAGTGCAGGAGAATCTTGGGGGCGCTGTGGTAGCAAAATGGTCTCTATCCTTATGCAACTTTAGCTGGCTTTGTGTACTGAAGAGTTGTGGACATAGTGGACATTTCTCCCATGTTACTCCAACTGTCATATCTAAATGTCTATTTAATTGAAGAATTGTTGCGAAAGTTTTCCCACAATTTGTCTGTGTACAGGGGATTTCTTCACCCCTGCTTTCCTTCTCTAGTCCAGGGTCATGACCCCGATATAAGCTTGAGTTTCGGGTCAAGTGCCTGTACAACGTGACACTGCTGAAGAAGGCCACCCTTTCTGGGCAGATCCAGCATCGGTACGGCGTTTCGAGTAGGTGGAGGCGGTAGTGGTCTTCAAGGACAGATCCTGTGACGGCCTTCCTGCAAAAGTAGCACTGCGCTATTCCTTTCGGTAAATTGGAAAGGTCATAGGTTTTACGGGGTGGGAGAGGCTTAGCATTTCTACAGAGTTGTCTCCGAATATGATCAACAAAACCGCGGCGATTTCTTAGGATGGCGGAGCAAGTGGAGCATTTAAATACTGCGCCGTGATCTCGATCAACGTGATCCTGCTTATGAAGCTCTGCCCAGAAATTCAAATTATTGACAAGTTGAAAACTCGAGACAACCAAATATTTATAAATACATAATTAACTTACCAAAGTAATTAACGTCTTTAAATCGCTTCCCACACCGGTCACACTTATAGGGTCGTTTGTTACCATGGCTTTTCTGGTGCATTTCCAAATGGCACCTCTGCTTAAACCGCATTCCGCACAATTTACAATCAAACGAGGGGTGGCCCTTCCTCATGTGAAGTGCGTAGTTTCGCGTGGATTTGAATTCTCCTGGGCAGAGGGAACAAAGCGTCTTACCATCTTTTATTTTAAGGGCTGCGTGACGTTCGGCATGCAGACGAGCGTCTCGCACCCTCTTAAAAGTTTCTGAGCAGTTAGGTTCCGAACATTTGCAGGGGACTTCTCTAAATCGAGCAGTGTGACGGAGGTAGTCAGATTTTCTGTGCTTTTCGTTAAACTGCATCCCGCAAGTGGAGCAGCTAATGGAAGGGATGGTTTTGTGAACAACTTCCTAATCAGAAAAAGAACGTACTTAATTAATTCAACTAATTAATAAATTGCAGACATTTCCGGATCTATCAATATAAGTTTTCTATTAATTCGTTTTATCCTTATGCATAATATATTTCGAAATGTATTTTTAGTGAACAATTTTTTTAAATAGTTTCTCAAAAGGTTACTTACCATGTGAATCGACATACTGATAACATTTAAATCCTTCCCACAAATGCCACAGTTTGACCTCAACTCTGCCTGAGTTACTTTATCTGGGTGCTTCTTCTTCTTGTGGATAGCCAGATTTGCCACGGTGTCAAATGAGTCCTGGCACAGACCACAGCAAAATTGTTTCTTAGGGCGGAATCTGTGCATCCGCCTCATATGGAGGACAAGATGGGAATTTATTTTAAATGTCTTCCCACACGTGGGGCACACCTGTGGCGGAGTTTCCAAAAAGTCTGAAACTTTATGCATATGGCGCAAATGGAGGTTTGCATACTGCACCGTTTTGAATTCAGATGGACAAAGGGGACACTTAATGACGGACTGATGGAATGGCCCTCGATGGACTAATCTAATGTGGCGCAGTAATTTCGCAGAGTATTGCAAAGATTTCGTACAGTTTGGGACGTGGCATCGGAATGGTTTCTCTTTTAAGTGGAGACGTAAATGGTTATAGTGAGATCGCCCGAGGAGATCTTTATTGCAAAAGTAACATTTGAATATTAATTTGTTGGACATGGTGATTAAATATTTGTAATGGCTTGGAATTTATTGCCAGGAAATTTGTGTAGTTTTTAAGTGTAGTGGTATGTGTGATGGTTGGAGATGTACTAGTTATACATACCTTCAGAAATTCTGTACGTGAAAGGTGTTAAACAATGAAAGTCGGAAATATAGTATAAAACCGGCTCCACATCCCTCAAATACTGGAAAGCTTTAAAATATCAGGTATCCTATTCTTACCATGACTAGGAACCTTTTTAACAAAATGCCATCATGAAATATTTGCCTTTTTCTAAAAACTGTAACCCGAGGTAAACCTTCCTCGTAGCGATGCCAACATGAATGCCATAAATCAATGATTTTTTAACTTCAGCTACATAGCTATGTATCCTACTCTCCAAAATCAGGACTAGGTAGTGTGTAAACAATCAGAAAAAGTAGCTAAATAAAAATATTTATTCATAATAATTTCTATGTTTTGCGTAATCATTGGAAGATGAATAAATTGGAGGATAAATAAATGTTCGGTTTTGAGAACTTCAATTTTACTCTGTATATAACTAATCGGGAGAAACTAAATAATTTTCAAAAATTTAGAAATCCTGGACTACTGTATTCATACCCAATTGTAATAAATTTTCATGTCCATGAAAATAAATATTAAATGTTCCTCAACTTAACGCACACATGTATTATTTCTGGTTTAAAACTCATACATACTTTAAGTGCATGAATGTTAGAAATACCAATAAATAATTTTAATTGGAGATATTGTGTAGGAATTTTAAATACATTATACATTTTAACTTTTCCTGTAAATAGAAATTTTACATTTTGCATAGAAAAACATAAACGCGTATGCTTTCCTCATGCATTATTTGTCACTTGGGCGAATGAGATTCCGGCACGAATTTGAATCCAGCTGCTCTTTCTCTCCACTCTATCTTTGTCAACATTCAAACTTTGCAATTAAATTTTACGAAAGTTAATTGAATATTTAAACTTTAAATTGTTAAGTGATTATGAAATTGGTTAATTATTTCTCCTCGTGACCACCAATTAGTTATTGCAGAACATAACGAAAAGGTTAAGGTATGAATGTTTACAAATATTGTTTAAAAATAATTGCTAAATTTAAATCCATTCTCAATAATTAAATTGTTTTATTTTAGACTCGGCATGTCCAGCCAACACTGTCTCCTCTGCTTACAACTCATCCCCAATGGGGACTACGACACGGTCACCGAAGATGATCATTCTAGGAAGATACGGATTCTCACACTCGTCCATTTTTTATCGCTGGGTCACCAAAGTCACAAATCTTCTTATCAAGGTCATTTTGACGAGGAGGAGACTTGCCAATTGTGTCCCCATTGTTATCCTGTCATACATCAAATAGAAGAAATTAGGAACCAAATCGCTCTTCTGGAGGAGAAAGTCGAGAGGAAAGTAGCTCAAATTCGCGAAACTATTTCTTCCACCGGAAAAAATGACGATGAAGGGGACAACCAAGTTAGGAAATTAAGAAAAATTATACTTCAGGTCACGGGTAGGTTGGTTTTTATAATTTTTATTTCCAAACTTGCAATATTTTTCACATAAATGTATTTCTGAATTCGTAACCAGGTAATGTAGACGACCAAGAAGAAAATTTTGAGCTGGACGAATTCCATGTTAAAGTCCAAGAAGATGCTGACACTTTTGGAGACGCAGGTCAACGCTGTCCCCCGTATTGTTTTTGGTCCTAACATACAAAGGGAAATTCCTAGTTCCACCAAAAATAACGCATCGTGGTAAGAAATTATTCAGGTTAAATTCCTTAATGCAATTTAATCCGCAAGTTCTTACTACCTCGATAAATTTATAAGTTTAGAGTTTTCCCTTTATGAAAATCTTATTTTAATTAAGTAAACTATTATTTTTTAGTAAACGCCGACCAGACGATTCATCTCTAAAGGGAAAACAAAAACAAAGTCAACCCAGCCCGACTTCAAAACGAATTAAACTGGAATCTCAACGTCAGACCAAAATATCTAAGAATGGTCACGATGACGACGAATGGCTACCCCAAGAAGAAAATAGCAGCGATTCCTCGGAAGATGGGGAAGATCAAGTCAATGAGAAAATTTCGCAAAATACTCCCCTCCATTGCGACACGTGCAATTCAAATTTTGAGACCGAGGATCAGTTGGCGACACATGTGACGACTCACAAATTGAAACAGTATTGTTGTAGTATATGTGGAAGGCCATTTACTAATATTTATTCGATGACGACGTAAAATTTATTAATTTTATCATAAAATTTTTATGAAAAAAAGTTACTATTATGACAACTAATCACAATCAATAACTTTTCCAGCCACTTGCGCAGCCACAACGCAAGAAAACTGGAGAAATGCCCCCTATGCGATGAAACATTTCCGGACAAGTCGACCTTGAAGGAACACTTGAAAGTCCACAGAACCCCTACGGAAGGGTACTTCTGTCACACTTGCGGGATGGGGTTCTCCATGACTGCCAAGCTCAATCAACATTTCGATGTACACAGAAAGAAGAAGCCAGTAATCCAGTGTGAAACCTGTGGCGAAATATTTGTGTTCTTAAGCACCTTGCAGAACCATCGGGTCAAAGTTCACGGGGAGAGTCCTTTCGTGTGTGAAGCCTGGTAATTTTTGCAATGATTAACATATTTTCCCAACTATTGACAAAATTCCGCAAAATAATTTTCTTAATAAATAGCCAAATTAATATCTCATTTCAGCGGTGAGGGTTTCAAGTCTCCTGAAGAGCTACAAGTCCACAAAGAGATCCATAAAGAAATAAGACTGTACATGTGCGAGGTAACATAAAATTTGGAAAAATTTGCCAATTAATGATTTTTTATTAGTTCAACTAATACCTTGTTTTTTGCAGACTTGTGGATCCGGATTTAAGACCAAAGCACGCCTCGACGGTCACATGGCGAGCCACTCGGACGAACGTCCCTTTCTCTGCGACCAGTGCGACGGAACGTTCAAGCATGCAAGTCAATTAAGTCGCCATTTCAAAAGGAACCACACCCCCGGCTACATTGTCCCCACTCCGCACAAATGCCCCCATTGTGACAAAGCATTCCAGACTCGTGTCAGACGGGACACTCATGCACTTGTGCACACGGGAGAGCGTCCTTTTGGTTGTGACCTATGCGGGAGGCGGTACTTTGCCAAGAAGTCGCTGCACGACCATTTAAAGACACATACCAGTAGGGGACTGTAGTAAGAAGAAAAAAGAAACAGACCAACTCAAGGAAGACATGTTGAATTGCTAAAAATTGTGTATTTATGTATCCAGTAGAAAATTAGAGTTAAATTCATGTCTGAAATAAAATAAAGCAAGAAAATTAAGTGACGAGAAGTATAATCTTTAGGTTTGACTTTATTTCAAAAAATAGTTTATTCGCACTTACTTTTATAAAATTTACACACCATAACTATATATATTAAAGTAATGCAAATTGTAGATTGACATGAAGTAATTAAATATTACAAGTTTATAATTAACTTATTTATTTAGTCAGACAATGTTTTCTTGCATATCATGCACATTTATCGCGCATCATTTAATTTTTAAGTAATTTTACATAAAACTATTTATTAGATCCTATTGAAAATGTACCCGAAACATATATTAAACAAATTAAAAGTAATCAACGTATACTTGTTCACGAAACATAAATATATTTTTAATATGCAATATGGCGTTTTTCATACACAAAGATTACATTTGCTTAACTTAGGACTATACTTGTTTATACTTGTTTCTTCCTTAATTCAATAAAGGCATTATTAACTAAAATCTTCCATAATACTTATAAAACTTTTTCATACAGATATATAAAAAATATACATGTATATTTACTAACATGGAGCTTTTTCTCAAATATATTAAACAAGTTATATGTGGAAGATCCCAGTGAGAAATAATGAGACGGCTCTTAATTGGATAAGATTCTTGTCATAAGAATTGCATGATTAAATGCGAAAGGACTTGATCATTTAAAATGATTTAAAATTAAATTACATAATTAGTTCCAAGAATAAATACCTCGAATACTGACTGACTCAATATTAGAGTTGTTAATAAACATTCTCTTCACTACCAACTGACAATGTCATATAATCCTGAGAGTTATACGGATCGGCTATCACTAATTATTAAATTATAAGAACAGTGCCACCTTCTTTCTCACCTTTAGTTAAGTACATTAGTTACTGCACCAATATAGTTTGAACAGGAAAACTCACCAGAAATAGAAGGCAGTTAATAGCAATTCTTATTTATTAATGTATAGGAAAACCTGTCGGATGAGCAAAAAACAAGATAATACAGACTCATGCTTTGTTGCTCAGTCATTCTAGGATAGGAATTAATGGAAACACAGTTGACAAATACAGACAATCCGGCAGAAGTTACAATCCGACCAACCAGCCTGGAGGATAGAACTTCTGTTTCTATACTCAAAGGTCTGGAGTTCGATCCTGACTGTTGCATTTACTTGCAAAAAGTCTGGATTTAACTGGTCGGAGAGATGAAAAATGTTTGTATGGTATCTAGTGGTGGTGGACTTGCATATCTAGATATGAAATAGATATGCAAGTATCCTTCAAATTTTCATTCAAATCCTACTCGGCTCTGTGTTTGTACGGAGTAGGTGCATACCAGTGTCCGACTTGTCGGCTAATAGAGGGTACGGAACCTTGCTCTGCTGGTATGCCCTCATAAAGTCCGTTCTCTATGTAGATGTGTCTGCTTTGTATTCTTCTTCTCCTCTTTTCGTGTTACTTGATGGAAACCAGTCTAACGTTGTACTGATCAACGAATAACACATAAAAATAAACGCCTACAAACAAACAAACAAACAGACCTTGTAAAAACAGTGTCCGTTCCTATCTGGGCACAAACTAAGGTATATTTTTGTCGAAATGATACATATAAGACCATTTTAAATATACTAATTATAATTAACGATGTCTAAATTATTTTCAGGACTCCTGCAGATACTAGTCATAGAGGACCAGGTGGGAATACCAGCCTAGATATGCAACCCGTGATCCTTGGAATATCCTAGCAGGACGCCGGAATTAATGTTCCCCGTCCCCTTCCATATGGTGAAGACACTCCACATCCACCCAGGTCAAAACCAAATGCAGCATTATGAAAATGTTGAAGCTCTACAGGCGAGCTTCGCATAGAAAACGAAAAAAACCGGCTAGTATCAGAGAAGTATGAAATGTTGGAAAATACTTTTGAACCTTCCGTTAAACATTTTGAGACACTCCTACTAGTGGACTGTATATTAAAAGTATATGTGTAATTTATATCTTAATCCGTAACTCTCGGAATAGGCAACAGTTAACAATAAAATTCCCAATAAGATGCCTCATCTTATGTAGCATCTGTACTTTACAAGAAAGGAAATTGCAAGAAACCTTATATTCTATGGCACGCCAATTGTTCCAATTAATTCATATCCCTTTAATATAATGTACAAGTGTCGTATGATAATTTTAAGTGTTGTATGGTTGTTAGCTATGTAGGTAAAATATGCGAACGGAATTAAAAATAAATATGTTTGCATCAGAAAATATTAGAAGCATTGTTGTTTCTCCGTGCGGGCCCATAAATAGGGCGTTGCACTTTTTCTCAATACATAAAACAATTGTTTAGCGAACAAAGTCAGTGTTGCTCTAATATTGAAGAATTAATTTTAAATCAGAACTAAAAACCATGCACTATTTGACCACAGGATACCTTTACCAGTATCCAATATGAGTATAAGGAAGAAACCCGATTATGTACAGGTTCAACTTCAATGTTTAATTAACATAGTGCCAGTATCTTAATTAAGCAGTATCAAACTGCTTAATTTATTACAAAAACGAAAAATTTGGAAAGAGTTTCTTATTCCATTGCATATTTAAATATTTTCGTAATTGTGACGCAGTAGAACAGCAACGCAAGGGTCACTCGGGACCATTAGAAATTATTTTAAATCATGGTTTACTGAGAAGGAACATTTCATATACATACACACAAATTTACATACAATGAACTTTTTCCCAAATACTTATGTAATCCTTTGTTTTGACGACTACGATTTAAACCAAAGTAATGCCCCAGGAGCTTGGATAGCCCAAAATTAGTCGAATTCAATAATTTGAAGAAGTTAGAACAGAACTAAACTCTACCAAATAGCTAACTATTTTTCGCACTACACTTCGATTCTCCTTGAAAGTCAACTGTTTGCTGAAGATTCTTACCTGGTGTTTCATAAAGTATCATCTGGCGGACATGGATTTAATTAAAATTCATCCAGTTACCGTCTGGTCAAATTTATTAAAACAACAGAAATAAGCTTGGGTAAGCGTCATTATGGATTGCTGTAATTTGTTTGCTAATGTATGTACACAATTTGTTATATCTCTTGCCTAACCATGGAAATTTTACATAATAAAATAGTTTTTGTCACAAGGTTTTGCCATAATTAGATAAATCTCTTAAAAAGGAGAATCTATTTTATGTAGGCTAAATTGTTTTTAAGCAGCGCCGGCTGAAGCAGGGGGACATTACCGTTGCAGGATAGGGTAGCTACCCTATCCTTCAACGGTAATGTCCCCCTGCTTCCGCCGCCCATGTTTTTAAGTGCGTTCAACCTAAGGCATCCACAAAGGTGTCGACATATACAAGTTCTTTTACAAATAAGTATCCCAATAAAAGTAAAGCCGAAAATTACTCTATACAGGAACAACCGAAAATCAATTATACTACCGATACAGAAACGATAGCAGCAGCTATCTAAATTTACAAAGAAATCGATAATTATCTCAAGGCTTTATAAAATGTGATGAACGACGACATTACATCTATTTTGTCTAAACCAGTCCTAAGGAATTAGTTCGTCACATTCAAAATGATTCGGATTGCTCCTGTCCAGAAATTTTTGACTCTCTGAAGGATAACGGATACAACCACACCATGTCTCCACACTACGCTAGAAGGAATTTTACGAGTTCCTATTATTAGGAAATGTACAATTTACATAATTATTAAATTTACTAGATCGTCCTTATCACACTTTGGTGATCAGGGGAACTATGGAAGTTTCAACAACAAAACATTGCAGATAGATGTTAAGGGTTTTTTATTTACTTAATTTTTCATTTAAAGGCAACCATCAATGCTATTACCATGCATCTGAGACCATAAGCACGGAAACCCGAAGAAGCCAGAGAATCTACGAATCCCAGAATATTTATACCCTATTTCAACAATCTGACGCTTAAGTACTAACGCGCTATAACTTCCAGATATGCCGCATCAAAAATTTCCCATCCGCATCCCCAAGGTAGTAGAAATTCATATGTAGAGGATATCCGGTAAGAAGCAAAAATCGACAAACAGTGGAACAAAGATAAAGATCGCAGACACAAAGGCAATTGTTGAACTGAAAAATACCAGAAATATACGGCCAAAAATTAAAAAGATCTTACATTTTTGCATTTTTTCGGAAAATATAAATTTGTGGGAATGTTCATCGAAAATTCTGGACAATTTATTGTTCCATTCATCGCGTGGATGATACACCAAAAATTATTTGTACAACAAAATCAAATAGCCGGGGAGCTGGCCATGTCAAAACCAAATTTGCCTACCTCCTTGAAACCGGTTGTGGACTTACCTTCCTTCAAGTCTGAATTTCCCTTAACTGGGAAACTTGCATCATCCGTGCCAAAATTCGCAGAAGAGAAGTTTCTTTCTAATTTCAAACTTCTTAGGTCGGCAGACTTAACTGAAACCCAAAACGAAATGGACTTGTGGACGACTGAGTTAACCCTATCAGAAATGTAACCAGCGGACTCATAACAATATTATCGGCTCACATTGATGCCAAAGCGGACTGCCGAGAATGGAATGTACCCCATCTTTATGTCCCCACTACCGTGCTGGAAAAAAGACTGCAAGTCATCACCGTCGACACTGAGATATAGCTAGTTTTCCGTCTTACGAAGAAGCAACTTATTGTTCAATACCTTAACACATATATTAACGCATGACAACTTCCAGGCTTACATGGCCAATTAGAGGATATGCCTTAGCAAAGCTGATCCCAATTCAAAGGAGTATAAATTCTACAAACAATATACCAACAAATCTACAAAATAAGTGGATACAATCTTAAAAGTGTAAAATAAATAAGAAAATTAAAAACGCTAAAAACTCAACTGACTTGTTTTAAGGAAATGACTAAAAGCGATACAGCAAATACTTTTACAGGGAAGACTAACTATCGTATAAGTGTTCCAAGGAGGAAATTAATAATAGAACAAATTTACAATGACAATTT